AACGTTGTGTCTTCCCAATGACCTAACAAAGGGCTATAAGCACAGCAAATGCTTAATCGTTTTTTTAAAGTTTAGCTCAGCATAAAGAAAAACATCCTAACCATTAGATTTATCGAAAAGTATGTAGGTTACCATGGAACATAATGGGCTCCCACTAACCAGAAGTCTCCAGGAAGAGGCGAGATTGCTACCTGCCAGGTACCAGTTAGGCTAGAGACCTGTGAGCTCCCTCCTGGCACTGAGATCTAGGGACTCGGTAAATGGAATTGAGAAATATCCACGCAGTAGAAAAACTCCTAAATTTGGAGTCAAGACTTGGGTTTGAATCTCAGCTTTACCACTTACCACCTGAGTGACTTAGAGTGAGTCACTTAACTTCTCATGACCTCAGTTTCCTTCAACTGTAAAATGGAAGAGTTAGCCTAGATGGCTTCTGAGATCTCTTCTAAGTCTAAATCTGTGAATATCTTATTTATTTCATTTTTTTTAGTTTTTTGATGCCTTTTACTTTGACCTCACAGTAAATTTGCTATACTGCTCTCTTTCCCCTTCTCCTACTGAGCCCTCCTTTATAACAAAGACAAAAACACGCAAGCAAAACCAACCAACATGTACTACGTCTGAAACATATGCAGCATTCCACGGCCAAAAACTCTACTTCCCCATCTCTCCAATGAAAGGAAGGAAGTCCATGCACTCATCTCTTCCCTGAAGTCAAGATTGCTTGTTATAATGACCAAATGGTCAGCTTTGTGTTGTCATTCTTTCATATTATGGTATTCATTGTGTAGATGGTTTTTCTGGTTCTATTCCCTTCACCGTACATCAGGTCACACAAGTCTTCCCATGTCTCTCTAAAATTCCTCAAATTATTCATTTCTTACTGCCCAATAAAACTCTATTACATTCACATATCGTAGTTTGTTTAGCCATTTCACAGGAAATGGGAATCCACTTTATTCTAATGATTTTGTTACTATAGAAAGTGCTACTACAAATATCTTAGCATGTGTGTGTATGTGTGTATGGTATGTATGTATAACACACACAATATATAATGTGTATATATGTATATGTATGTATACACACATACATACACGTGTATATGTGTATTTGTGTGTATATATATACATATATATGCATACACACATATACACACCAAGCTATATATAGGATCTTTCTGTCTTTGATCTTTGTAAAGACTAACATACCATCTCTCATAGTAGGGATCTCAGGGCCAAAGCATATGAACAGTTTAGGCATTTTTCTCAAATAATTCAAAATTGTTTTCTAGAATGGCTGGACCATTTCACAGTTGGTGGCCCTGATTAGAGAAGAACTGGAAAGAGGTGATTACTTTAGGGCCTATGTTAGTAGTGGCAATCTTAAGACAGCTATAACTGCTTTTTTTTCTTTCTTTCCATTCTTTCTTTCTTTTTTCATCCTTCCTGTCTTCCTTTCTTTCCCTCCTTTCCTTCCTCCCTTCCTTTCCTCTCTCCCTTCTTTCTTTCTTTTATCTTATTTTCTTTCTTACTTCCTTTTCTTTTCTTTCTTTGTTTCTCTCTTTCTTTTTTTTAAATTAATTTATTTTGAATTATCAACAATCACTTCCATAAGCTTTTGATTTTTAAATTTTTCTCCCCCTCCCTCCTTACCTCCCTCCCTAAGATGGTGCACAATCGGATATAGGCTATACATTCCTATTAAACATATTTTCACATTAGTGATGTCGTAAGGAAGAATTAGAACCAATAGGAGAAACCACCAGAAAGAGGAAACAAAACACAACAGAAGAAAAAAAAATAGCAAATAATATGCTTCGATCTGCATTCAAACTCCATAATTCTTTCTTTGTACATGGATAGCATTTTCCATCATGAGGCCTTTGGAGATGTCTTGGATCCTTGTATTGCTGGGAAGAGTTAAGTCTATCAATATTAGTCATCGTACAACGTGGCTGTTATTGTGTACAATGTTCTCTTGGTTCTGTTCACTTCACTCAGCATTAGACCACACAAGTTCTTTCCAGGTTTTTCTGAAGTCAGCCTGTTCACCAATTTTTATAGCACAATAGTATTCCATTACATTCACATACCACAACTTGTTCAGCCATTCCCCAATTGATGGGCATCCTCTCAATTTCCAATTCTTTGCCACCACAAAAAGAGCTGCTATAAATATTTTTGTACATGTGGGTTCTTTCTTTCTTTCTTCCTTCCTTTCTTTCTTCTTCCTTCTCTCCCAGGCTAGAAATGCATGGGCTGCTCACAGACTCTATAGCACTACTGATTGGTACAGGGTCTTTGACCTGCTCCATTCCTGACCCAGGCTGCGTTACCCCTCTTTAGGCAACCTAGTGACCCTATGACTCTTGTTCAACAGATTGCTTCTGGGCTCAGTTCAGCCCCCTGATCAGCTTGTGAGGAAGACATTTTTTTCCTGTCCCTGCAAGGGCACATTCCCAGGTACAAAGGTGAAAGCTATCTAAACAACCAGCCAAGGTTAAACAGACAAAAGCTGGTGCATAGTTTATGCATCAGCCTTTGCAACACATCAATTATGAGTATTCCACACACTTTGATAGGGCCTGGGTTTTCTGCAGGTTGAAAATATAGCATATATACCAAAACTCCAAGATGCAGTCTCCTGGTGGTGTGTTTACATTACCCCCTACTGCTTTGAGGACAGCTCCTCCCTAACCCTGAAAATCACACGCACATGCACACACAGACTCAGGGATGTGCTGGTAAATGTTTAGCAACATGTGTGTATATGTATCTGTGTATGTATATATATATACACATATGTATATACACATGTGTATGCATATATTTAACAACATGTGTGTATATACATATACACATATATATCAGCATGTATATTATGTAACACATATAATATAATATTTAATTGTGTATATGTGTAGTTAGGATCTAGAGCACAAACTGTCAGACCTGGAAGGAGCCCTAAGGAGAAAGTTCAACTTTGATACTTTGCTCATGAGAAAAGAGACTTTAAAAGGTTAAGTGAATTGCCCAGGTAGTAAACTACAGAGCTTAGATATGAACCCAGTTCACTGATTTCATATCCAGTGTTCTCACTACACTACAACTTCTCCATCTGTCCAATGGGATTAATAGTACTATACATGGCATTAGTGTCAGAAATGAAAAGAACACTGGACCAGACCTGAGATCTAGTCCCAAAGCTACTATTAACTTACTTTGTGTCTCTGGGACAAGTCACCTCCCCTCTCTGGGGCTCAGTTTATTACTCAGTAAAATGAGTAGGTTGGACAAGATGATCTCTAACATCCTTTTCAGCTCTAATATTTTATGTACTGTGTGCTAATTTTCCTATGTGTTCTGGGTTCTGATACACTGTGTTCTAAGGTCCCTGCCAGCCAGGAGTGTGCTGGAGCTAGCTCTAACCAGCTTACAAAGCCCATTGTCAAATTTTCAGTGAGCGTTTACACCTCTAAAATTGACAATCACTGCAATTCAGGGCTTGAGTTATTGTTTTGTTGAGTTCTGGACTTTAGTGTTAATAATGCAGACTAAACTTAAAAGAGGATGTGCAACCTTTTTTTTTTTTCCCTTTGGAGAGCTTGGTCGTTAAACATTTACTAGCACACCCCTCAATACCTCTAGAAATACTGCTTCAGCTCAGCCAGAGCCCAGAGAAGTCTCAGAGAATGAAGTCATCACTTGCCTGGAGGCCTGGTAACTTAAGGCTAATAGTAATAATAACTACAACAACATCAATAATGACAAATAACTGGCATTTATATAGCACCTTAAGGTTTGCAAAATGCTTTACAGGCATTGTCTCATTTGATCCTCATGATACCCCTATTATTTCCAGTTCTAGCATTTTGTAAATCCAGTCAGAAGGATGACAGCTAACACTTCCATAGCACTTGAAGGTTTAAAGAGCCCTCTCTTCACAGTATGAGCTAAGTTAATGCAATGTTGTCCCCATTTTACAGATTAGGAAATGTATTCCTTGTTAGGTTTAGTGAGTTGGCTCTAGTCAAGGGGCTAGTAAGAGTCAGAACTCAATTACAAATTAAACTTCCTGATTCCAAGTCTAGGGTTCTTTTCCCGATGCCACACCTGCATTCTAAAGGAAAGGAACCTGAAGATCATGAAGTGAGATACAAAGATCTAGTTCCTAAGGATAGGAACTGGGCCTGTGACCTCAATGGTATGGTGAACTCCTGGGGTGAGGAAATTCCCTCCACTAATACCGCATAGCACCTCCTCTGAAACTGAGTGTCATAAGAGACATTAAGTGACTTGGCTAGACCATACAGCTAGTACGTGTCAAAAGCAGAATTCTTATCCAAGTCTTCCTGGATTTGAAGCCAGCTCTCTGGTATAGGGATAGAGCATGGCCTTGGAAGATCAGGAGTTGTTCAGTCATGTCAGACTCTTCCATGACTCCATGGACCATATCATCCATGGCGTTTTCTTGGCAAAGGCACTGGAGTGGTTTGCCATTTCCTTCTGCAGTGGATTAAGACAAACAGAGGTTAAGTGACTTGCCAAGGGTCACATAGCTTTTGAGTGTCTGAAGCTGGTTTTGAACTCAGGTCTTCTTGACTCTAGGACCAGAAACCTATCCACTGCACCATCTAGCTACCTCCAGCTAGAGAGAAAGAGAAAATTAGAAGACCTAAGTTCTACGTGATACTATGCAAGTCATTTAACCTCTCTCAGACTCAGTTTCTTCATCTACAAAGTGGGAATAATAATAGCACCTACCTTACAGAATTGCTGTGATGATCAAATGATATAATCTATGTACAGCACTTTGCAAACCTTAAAGTTCTGTATAAATTCTAGCTATTCTTATTATCTTCTGCTATATCACATTGCCTCTCAATCCAAATGTAAAAATAATTATCCTATTACTCTTGTTATTATTATTGTTTTTGTTTTCGTTGTTGTTGTTGTTATTGTTATTATTAACTATATCCAGCTCTCTTCTCTTCACAGATCCTGGCCATTATCTCCATCATGTTCATAGTCCTCTCAACCATCGCCTTGTCGCTCAATACGCTTCCCGAGCTTCAGAGCCTTGATGAGTTTGGACAAAGCACTGACAACCCCCAGCTGGCCCACGTGGAGGCTGTGTGCATTGCCTGGTTCACCATGGAATACCTCCTGCGATTCCTGTCCTCACCGAAGAAGTGGAAGTTCTTCAAGGGCCCACTCAACGCTATTGACTTGCTGGCCATTTTGCCCTACTATGTCACCATCTTCCTCACTGAGTCCAACAAGAGCGTGCTACAGTTTCAGAACGTGCGCCGGGTTGTGCAGATCTTCCGAATCATGAGAATCCTGAGGATTCTCAAACTTGCCCGGCACTCAACCGGCCTGCAGTCTTTGGGGTTCACCCTCCGGCGGAGCTACAATGAGCTCGGTTTACTCATCCTCTTCTTAGCCATGGGCATCATGATCTTCTCCAGCCTGGTTTTCTTTGCTGAGAAGGATGAGGATGACACCAAGTTCAAGAGCATCCCTGCTTCCTTCTGGTGGGCTACCATCACCATGACCACTGTAGGTTATGGAGACATCTACCCCAAAACCCTCTTGGGTAAAATCGTAGGGGGGTTGTGCTGCATTGCAGGGGTCTTGGTGATTGCTCTTCCCATCCCTATCATCGTCAACAACTTCTCTGAGTTCTACAAGGAGCAGAAGAGACAAGAAAAAGCCATCAAGCGCCGGGAAGCCCTGGAGAGAGCCAAGAGAAACGGTAGCATTGTTTCCATGAACATGAAGGATGCTTTTGCCCGAAGTATAGAAATGATGGACATTGTGGTGGAAAAGAATGGGGAGACCCTCGGAAAGAAGGACAAAGTCCAAGACAACCACTTGTCTCCTAACAAGTGGAAGTGGACAAAGAGGACTCTGTCTGAAACTAGCTCTAGTAAGTCCTTTGAAACAAAAGAGCAGGGGTCTCCAGAGAAGGCCAGATCATCATGCAGCCCCCAGCACCTGAATGTTCAGCAGCTAGAAGACATGTACAACAAGATGGCCAAGACTCAGTCTCAGCCAAACCTCAACACGAAGGAGTCAGCTCAGCAGAGCAAACACAAGGAAGAACTTGAAATGGACAGCATCCCAGGTCCTGTGGTACCCCTCCTGCCCGCACGCACAGAAGGGGTGATTGACATGCGCAGCATGTCCAGCATCGATAGCTTCATCAGCTGTGCAACAGACTTTCCAGAATCCAGCAGGTTCTCCCACAGCCCACTGGCATCCCTCTCTAGCAAGACAAGTGGCCCTGTGGCCCAGGAACTCAGCTGGCGGGGCCCTCCAGACTCTGGTGGGAGCAGGTTGTCAGACTCCAACCCGACCCCAGATGGCAGCCAACACTCCAGCTTCTTTATTGAGAGTCCCAAGAGTTCCATGAAGACGAATAACCCCTTGAAACTCCGGTCACTGAAAGTCAATTTCATGGAGGGGGACCAAGGCTCAACCTTGCCTATGGGCAGCATCCTGGGGATCTATCCAGATCCTCTCAGAAACCGGGGTGGTGCCACCATCGCTGGCCTTGAGAGTGCTATGCTCCCGGATCGATCCTTGCTGAGCCCAGAGTCCTCTGTCTACACCACAGCAAGTGCCAGGACACCCCCCAAATCCCCTGAGAAACATGCAGCAATAGCATTCAACTTCCATGATGCCAGTATCCATCAATACATCGATGCAGACACTGACGATGAAGGGCAGCTCCTCTACAGTGTGGACTCCAGTCCCCCGAAGAGCCTTCACAGCAACACCAGTCCAAAGTACAGCATCACCAACAGTGGGTTCCTCAGGCAAAGAGACAGTGTGCACAGGTCGGACAAGAACCACCAGGAGCTTTCCCCCTTACCCACCTCGCCCAAGTTTCTAGGGCAGAACTGTATTTATTCCATGGAAGCATTGACTGGAAAGAATCAGAGAAGTCAAGAAAAGGGCAAACTAGATAATCACATATCCCCAGAGGTCCGTGTGCTGCCAGGGGGTGGAGGACAGGGAAGCACAAAGGATCCAAGCATCTGAAAAGCCTCAGACAGGAGACCTGCTGGCACATTCCCAGGGATGCTGTCTGCTCCCCCACCACTGAGCTTTTCTGCATGAACTTTACAAATGAAACAAGCCACTTGTTTCTAAATAAAATACAGAATGAAGTATATCCAAGGAAATGCCCAGAGCAGCCACACAAGTCCTGCTGTGGAAGGATCATCTAAGGTACTTCCCAGTCCACAAAACCACCCATCACAGTAAGGCTGGCCAGGCTGCAGTATCTCCTTGGATCTTTCCTGTCAACGGCCTTCTTTGGAGGGGCTGGGAACAACATTCACAGCAGTCCCCGTTCCCTTCTCCCTCCCACACACTCTCCTCTTCCCCTATCCTTGGGACACTCCAACCTCAAATGTCCCAGCCCTGGATGAGGATGTCTGCATCCCTCCCAGGGAAGAACAGAGCAGGGTACAGGAGCAAACCTATGGGCAAGGAAGGGAAGGGGGGAGGACAAGCCCAGTCTGGGGTCCTGCTTCACAACCATTGGGCACACCAGTCTTCTGCCTCCTGGATGGAGACAGTGTTTCAAGGTAGCAGGGGACGCTTACATCATGGAAATGTGAGCACTTGTACAAGCCAAGGTTCTGGCCTGAAAAACTTATTGCAGACCCTTCATCTAACTTCAGTATTCTGTAGAAACCTGAGCTTTTGTTTTGAGGTCAAAGCAGGGTGAGTTGCACCATTTGTATCTGATTTAAATTGACTCCTTACATCCTGGGGAGGGGTTGGTAACTCTGATATTTACCCAATGCAATGAACTCAGGCACCAATAGAATGTTGTGGGAGAAAATGAGAATATTTTTGGAGATTTAACTAGCATAGAATCAAAAGATATGCAAGTGTTAGATATGCAAAAGAAATAACACAATCAAAGAGACCACGAGTAAGCCACAACAAACCTAATTGGTTTAAAACAGAAAAAAAACTGCAAAATTCAAAAGGAAACCGAGCCCCACTTGCAACACCAAGTTTAGACTCTTCAATACATCCTTCCATGACAGGTTTTATCAACTATGAAGGCATTAACTTTTGTTTCTGCAATATTCACACTAAAAAAAAAATGTTATAAACAAAAAGCACTTTATGGTCTCTCAAAGGTGGGATCTACCAAGGACAGCATAAACATCTAGCACTTTAAAACAAGCACTATTTCTGCGGGGGCCACCTGTTGTGACTGGCGAGGTTGTCAATAAGACATTGGTCACTGGCCACAGTCCACCATGTGACCTGTACGCTATTACTGCTCTGTGTTGTGTCTGTGTCTGTGGGCTCACCTTCCCTACCCCCAGCCCCAAGAAGCTAACCTGTCAATCCCCATGAGTCTTAAAGGAAAAGATTTCTAAACCCCCTATGACAGTGTAGGTGACCTGGGCAGTTAACAATCAAGTCTACCTGTCCCAGGGACACCATGCCTGCACCGCTGAGGAAGACAGTCAAGAGTCTGGAGTCAGATGTCTCTGTTCCTTTCTTGTAAACTAGTCTTGGGTTTGTTTTCGGTGTAACTGTCTGTACATAATTCTGTGCTCTCATATTCCTGCAACCAGCGATGGCCAGGACAGCCTGTACAGACAACAGCAATAAGTACACATGTACGTTGTCAATGGTTGTGGTTTGTAACTTCATGGTCGGTCGTCCCGTCCTTAGTACAATGACTTCTATGCTGCATATACACCTGGCTCTCCTCCCACCTCAGCATGTTGGGGGAGATGAATTCTCACTGAGTCAGGGTGGGCCCTGGATGGGCTCTGTCCTTGGCCAGGTGACAGAGAAAAGTAGCAACTGGAAGGACTTGCCACGGTCTATTCACAGTGTGTGTGCAGCAAATGCAAGTGTACTTAAGGGAGTTGCTGCAAAGGATTCCTGGGATCTTTGTGTTGGCCTGGGAGTGTAGCATACTCCATGGCATCTATCCACCAAGGGGGCTTTCTCTCGCAAGCTGTGTGGGGTGGCCTAGCTGCCTGTGGGAGCCAATGGAGGTAGTCCAACACAATGTCCACCTTTCTTAGCATCTTCTCTTTGTTTGGGTCGCCATTCATGTCTGTCATCAGCACAAATGTAAAAATTCAGGGAAAAAAATAGCTTTTTTTTTAACATATATATTATATATATATATATATAAAGTAAATAGTAGTGATTTCCAATTGAGAAATTTTTAGAGCTGATGCTGATCTATTATGTTTGAAAAAAAATGACATTGCATATTTTACATATCAGGAAAGTGAACACATTTAAATATAGCCATATACCAAGGGAACTCACCAACCCTACTTTAAATTGATGCATCTTATTTGCAAGTGATGTTGACAAGAGGTGTCTAGATTAGTAACATGTCATGTTTTGGTTTGGTTTTTAAAACCTGAAATCAATTGGTGCAACTCTCCTTGTAACCAAAGGCCCTGTCTGCCTTGTGTGGTCACTTAGGACTCAACCCTTAGCTCGCCTATTTCGTCTCACTTTAAAGTAGCATTTTGAGTCACTTTTGAAGGATGAATTCAGAAGTATCCTTAAAAACCTACCTTTCGTGGCATCAGAGCCAAAACCCTATAGATTTCTTATAGAAACAGAATCACGGAGACCCAGCATATACTATGCTTGAAGAATGTTTTGATTTCTTTTTTATTTTTCACTTTTGTGTGTATGTATTATGGGAAATGTAGCTCTTACCATGCGCCCAGTTCCAAATAAAAACATGACGAATCCAAATTTTTAAAATATGTGGATGTTATGTGCGTGCACATGCAGTCCTGTACATATATGTACACATATGTACATACACACTGGGAAATCTGCTGAAGTGTTACTGTGCGGTGAGGCTCCAATGTCCTTGGTAGAGAAAAAGTACTGCTTTGGATCCACAGAGTGCTCCCCGTCCTCCTCTCCCCCCGAGTCCCACAGGTGTCTCAAGAAGAAGGCCATTCAAAAGTTCCCATTATGTTCTCTCCTGGAGCCAACAAAAAGCAAGCGGAAGAAAAATAAGACTCATACAAACTCACCGGCGGTGATTTGTACAGCTATGAATAGAGGTGGGCAGAGATGGGTTGAGGAGATCACAGGGTTCCCTTCTCTTTGGGCAATCAAGTCAGCAAAACTCCCCTATCAGCTGGATCCCAACAGAGAACAGACCCAAACTTCTACCACTCGTCCCTAAGGGAGCAAGTGTGGACAGCTTCTAGGCTGCCTCACTATAGTTTAGGGACAACAAAATCAAAATATTTTTTGGTTGTTGTTTTTTTTTAAAGGGCCAGAACAGATCACATCAATAAGAGCATTCCCATGTCATTCCCATCACCAATCCCTATCCAATTTGTTGAAATGATGGCATATCCCAATGACTAATTTATTTTAATACATTCATGGATCCCAAACCAACAACAGGATTCTGTGACAAAACTCTGGCCAAGCCAGTCAAATACTGGCCAGTTGGCCACCCCAGTGCCACACTCCAGAGACAAAACTGTGGCCACTTGTGGGTGGAGTGCTAACCCTGGGAGGAGATGGTTTCTTGAACTTTTAAGCTTTGAACAAAGAAGAACGGTACTTCCGGGCAGTAGATTTCTCAGTGCCTTTTTCTCTTAGGAATTTCATCTAAGCACACTTAAAGGGGAAAAGGGACACAAAAGAAGGAGGAAGAAAAAAAGATACATTTGCTCCTGTGACTCCCACTTTCCTAGAAGAGTTAGGGAATAAGAATTCAGAAGAAGGAAAAAAAAAAGATTCCCTTTTGACTGGTGCAGCCCAACCCCTGGGAATCACAGGCGATGCAAACTTTGAACTATCAACACATCCTGTGGGTATCTTTGGTGACTCTAAGCCTTCTCTTCCCTTGCAGCTAATAAGGTACCTGTTTATAAGGAGCAAAACAAAACAGTATTCTCTTCTATAAAATTGTAATGTACTGTTAATATTTGTATCTATTGTATATTTCTGTCTTGAATGAAATTATGGCTGGTACAGTTTCTAGTTGATGAACAGGGGGTAATTTAAGACTTAAAACCAACCAGGGCACTAAAGCCAGGTTCTCTCTCTCTCTGCCACCAAGTCTCACATCACATTATCCAAGACATTTAAACAAGAACTTGAGAAAATAACAAAACTCTGGAATCTGGGCCCAGAACAGCAGGACCGCTGTGCTGAAGCACTTTGGTCAATGGCTTCAAGTGGCCACACAAGTGGGAGGAAAAGGAGGAGCCTCCGTCCAAAGCTACCCTGCCAGAATTGACCAAGTCAAACTAGAGGTTTCCCTTCTTCAGAAATTTCATAGCTTCTCAAGTCCTTGTGCTAAGGAAACCAAAACTAACCTCACACAACCATGGAATGCTTTGGGATACCCCCAGTCAGGGAGAAGATGGCTTTAATTAGTTCCTGAAAAAGTACAAAAGTTGGAATTACCTCGGTGTTTACCTTTGCGCTGGCCCTTTAAGTATCTGATGTATGGAAATGTCACAAGACTTTCGTGCATCTCAGAATAGTCTATTTTTCTGTTGAGATAAAAATATATATATATATGTATTTTTAGCAAATTTATAATAGGGAAATTGAGTCAAATTTCTTCTTTTGTATTACAGAATAATATATTAGGAGACTTATTTATGGTCATTTCTATATCTGATTTCTTCTGGTCTTTTTATTTTATTCCTCCCTTCCTTGGTTTTTGTTGCTCCTAGGGGAGTGGGGGGTGGGATGGGGGTAGGGAGGGGCACAGAAAATCCCAGCCAAGGTTTCCGTGTCTGACTCCTTTGTGGAAACTTCTACCAACTGTCTGGTGTTATCATGTCACATGATCTGTTTCTGTTGTGTTCCTGTCAAGGGCTCGTAAAGCAGGAACTGAAAGTGGAAGAGAGGGAGGAAAGGAAGGAGGAAGGAAGGTGTGATTGGTCAAATGCAATCCACCCAACATGGGAATTTGGAAAGGCCACCCTGACCAAAGCTGCCATTCCAGACATCCTGGATTTACCAGGACTTTTTGGAACCAAAATTCT